AGCCTTCTTAAAGAAGCAGCACCTGAAGAGCTGAGAGAAGGTGTTAAATATCCAGTCAACCCAGTAACCAATTGATTTAGCCCATTAAGAGCTGAGCTGGAGAGGAAACTTGCAGACACACTGGCCCTCCAGGAAGAGGACTGCCCATCACTGAAGAGGCACCAGTTAACCTAGCCAGCACGTATGGTTTATATAGACAGAAGCCTCTAAGTGCCTTAAGGGCAGATTTCCAAGAACAGCATATGCTCCAATTTTATGGTTGTAAAGCATCACTTTTTCAAACTCTCTAGCCAACAGTATTACAATGAGCAGATAACATTATTTAACTTTTTTAGTTGATACAGTAATCTTTACTTACTCATCATGTTCAAGTTCTCATTTATACCTTTGACCACAACCTTGCTCAACAGCAGATTCTCTTGCTCATGTTTACGTGTACTGTTCATTTGTTTGTGTGTTTTTCTTTACAGTATATTGCCTGCTGCTGTAAACCAAATTGCCCCTCGAGGAAAATGAAAACACTCTCTCAAGTTAAAAATACCTCTCCCCACCCCATACACGCATTACAAATCCACCCTTAAGCCCATGAGCCTCCAAAAGAGTCCAGATAAAAAGGATAGTATATTTCCATTTTTATTATTTTATTTTCCCCATGAACTTTTAGTATTCAGTATTTCCAGGATTTCTTTTTTAAATACAGATCCTCAAAACCAATTTATCTTCATCCACAGGAGTGAAAACAAGCGTGATTATTCCTGACAGCCACATGCCCTCCAGAGAAATGATAACCAGTAGTACTGCAGACAAACATTATTTTAAAAGTCACAGTAGCTGTGGTATCTTCCTATCCTCTTACTTGTCTCCTGCTTTTCAAAGTGTGCTTATTGATGTGTTTGGATGTCCGTCACTGCGAAAAGCTCAATTGCAGGTTATATCAATATAGACCTGTCCTTCTGCACACGCTGAGGGAAATACGCAGAGCTAGAAGCTTCTGTGTTTGCACCATGTGCAGTCACTATAAAGACTGAGATTAAAATTTTAGATCCCCATTTTAGATCTCCCCATTTCATTCTTAAAATGATATAAACCAAAACACATACATTACACACAACACACATTACAAAATACATTATCATGAAGTTACGTGGTAAAATTGTACTTTGGGGGGTTTCAGTTTGTGCTCTTCCATTTCACACTGAACAAATCAGCTCCAGAAAAAATCAGTCCAACATCCTAGCAAATCGCCTTTAAGCACCTGCTAAAATCATCATTATCAGCAGCAGCAACTATTTCTGCTTAGAGTTCTTTCTATTTAAAAACGTGAACATTTTCATCTTCGTCTGTCTCCCTCTATCCCCAGTCCCTCACTTTTTCTTATTTTCCGATCCCTTCATCTGGTTTTTGTATTATGTGAAAATGTTTTATTAACTGCTCTGTTTTAAGCCCTTGCATATCTTGACACTGTTAGTATTTCACAGTTCATAGAACAAAGTCTTGTATAGAGGCATGTATGATACTAATGATAACAATAATGGTTGGCATTTAAATAAATGTTCACTTTTCGGACGACATTTTGCAAATTGCCAAACGTGCTAGAACATGCGTTAATTTCAGAAAAACTCTTTTGTTGTTTATCAGACATAATGTTTTAACAATAAGACACTAATATTATGTAAGAATACAAATGTCAAAAGATTGGGTTATGTTTCTACTGCAGCTATACTATGTACTACGGAAGCACATTGCTGCCATTAAGAGAGAAAAAAATCCGCCCCCTTATCTCGCAATTACGTATCTTGTAATTACGAGATAACCAATTATCTTGTAATTATGACATAGCAATGCTTACGTCAGTGTACTGTATGTACAACCTGTTACATTGTGCACTGAACGCATGTAGAAGCTACGGTGAACCTGACTGGCACTTTCGGTTTAATGATTGTGTCCAGCGCAGCAGACTTTGCACCAGTTTCAGCTGGGGTTTAGTCATAAGGAAATCTTGCAATTTTTGATGGTTCCGTTATGAAAAGTCACATGTGCAATCACTTCCACTGCTTAAAACTGTAAGTCTGCACGTAGCGATCTAGGTATTTTAACGGACACAGCCGACATTACAGGTTGTGCAATCCGGTTGCCAGCGCGATGACGTCACCACCCTTCCCTGTGAATAGCAGGGACCTCAGCCTGAGGGGAGATCTCCCTTTAACTCAGCCGGCTGGTTCCCTATTGAGTGAAGCTGTAGACCTGGGTTCGAGTCCCAGCAGAGGAGGGCCTACCTAAGGCGGTAGCCGCAAGGGCGCATACCCACGAGAACCCAAAAGCGCTATAGTATTTATTCCATGCTGAAAAGAGATGAAAAGAAACAATGTTTTGGCTGTGTGGGCTTCACATCAGAAATGTTACTTTTTTACTCTTTTCAGCATGGAATAAACAAACAGAAAAAAGCATGGAATAAAAAAAAGAGGAAAAAAGTAACAAAATATCATAGTATATGACGCTACCCAACAGTATTAAGAAGTTGGGAAGAGTTAGATGTGTTGTGTTAATTACAGAAAAATACTTCAATACTTTAAAAACATTAAAAAACAATGTCTTCACATAGCATATCTTAACCATGCAGAATTCATCGACTAAAACTAAAGCTCCCTCCAAGAAATTAACTATAATACTTCAAATTGGGTAAAGTTAAATGCAATGAACTAAAAACATTAGCCAAAATAAAACCCCTGTACTAAAAGAGAGAGATAGGTTGACGTTAAATAAAGTATATAACTAACATTTGTTTCTTTGATAAAATTAGTTTTTTGTGATTTATGATAATTTGACTGAAATGAAGATTGTTGCGAATAAACTATTAAAAAAAAAGCTCATTTTTCCAACTAGCGTTGCTAAACTCAGATAGAGTACACGGCTTATTGAATTCAATTCTCTTCATTAGTCAGACTCTAAGCTTGTGCCAAAGGATTCAGGCTAGCAGATTAATGCCAGCTTCCTTGATCTGTGCTTTGTGTGCACAAAATCACTTTTTCTGCTTTTGGGCTGCACAGCTTAAGAAATTATTATTACAAACAATAAAGCCCAGGATATTGTGCTATACTTGTGGGACAAAGAGGGAATTGTTTCTGTCTAACATTTTAACACTTATCAAATCTCAAAATACAGCCTGCTCCTTGCCCAGAAGTTTTGTATTAGATTTTGCATGAGGTTACAATATAATTAAAAAGGGAACACAATCACACACTCCTTTATGAACGACAACAGTCTAATTGTATAGTGTAATAATAAATAAAAAGGAACTTTAAGTTAAACACAGTTCTTCATGTCTGCAGGATGTGGTGCAGAAACTTGTGACCTATCCTTTTATAAATCTAAGAAAAATGAATATGTGCCCTCCCCAGTTTTGAGTTTTAAAGTCAAGTAGACACAAAGACTGCATATTTGCTACACTTCTGCCTAAACCCTGAATAAACACGTATTCTACACACACAGGCCTGCTGGCTCATACATGAGCCATGAATAGAAGTCCTTTATCCTCATTTGTTTAATTTTGATTTTGGATTTATAGAAAACACTAGAACTGATTGAGCTTTCTTAATGATAAAACAGGGACCAACGTGTCTTTTAACAGCTAGAACACCACCCACCCGCCCCGTTATATATTGAATATATAACAACCTAGACTGTTGTTTTAAAACACAGGTATTGTATTCTGCTCTTTTCTTAGAACAGGCAACTAAACTAAAAGGCAGAATGTATAAGAAACTCCACTAGAAATACCATGTCTCACCTACATGTGGTTTCAGTACAGAACAGGAGACTTGCTCCCTATTTAGATTCATTTGTTATTTCAAAAATAAAACACTTGACTTTCATTAGGTTACTTTAATTGCAAAATAATTGTACACTCATAGACTTGTCATAACAGCAATTATAATCTGACAGTGCAATTAGGTGCTATTAGAATTGAAAGTGCAATCAAACTGTTTCCAAATTGCATTTACTGTAATCATCACTTTACTTTCCTGATCCAACGTTAGATAAAAAATTGCAACACAATTTGCTTAATCTTATCTGTTTTTTCGAGCAAGGGTGAGCTGGTGTTCAGTGTCAGAATTTCAATCCTTGTGACCCCTCTCAGGAACAAATACATCCAACATCAAGGTGAACAGCACAAAGAACTTCCTGTGCAGAGCCACACCTTTCTGGAACAAGGACAGTTCTCCCGTTCTGACAAAAATCTTTATTTGTTTTCAGTCAATAGTTTATCACAACATTCAAGCACACACCAGAAGTCCTTCCACAAGAATAAATTCTTGATTTTTTTCATGCATGCTGTATATTTGTTTTAGAGCTCATGACCCAGCATAACTAATGGAAAATGCCATGTTGTTATTTTTCCTCAGGAAAGAAATTCCAGGTAGTAGCGAAATGCCCAAGCAATCAGACCGGCAGAATCTGAGTCCGATTGTTTTCCATTTGGATCATTGCCCTTTATCTATCTGGCTTTCTGTCCCTGGTTCTCCTTTACCGTCATGCCAGTTTGCTGCAGTTTTCCAAGTGGAAAACAAACTGAAAGGGGGAGTTTTCATGCTCTGTTCTTTTCACGCCTGCTCCCTGGAATTGCTGTTTCATTCTGCCAGAAATGTAGCCTCATGTTAGGAGCATGATTCACAGATGAAACAGTTTTCAGTCTCTTTCTTACTGAGCTTTCATTTTTATATATGTTGCACATATATAGGTAGATGTAAATGCAATTTAAAACTATTCTGATTACTGAAAACAAATACCCTTGCATTTGTATATTTAAAACTGCCTGTTTACAAATGTTAGCAGTATTAAAGGTTGCCAATGGTAATGTGACTGCAGCCTGTCAGCCATGTGGGGTGAGCTCACTCAGGATTCCATCATGGCTGCTGAAACACAGGATTACATGAGGTTGTGACGTGGAGGTTTTAATGATAAGTGTGCTGTCATTGGTGCTTACGATTTCTTGGACTCACCAAGGCTGGCATCAGAAGATCAGCACAGTACACAAAGGCGGCCCCCAGAGTGAAACCCACAGCCACAGGAACAAATGCATAGGCTCCGTACTTCCCCGAGTCCTCTGCCATGTCAATTGCAGGGGCAAGTAACGACCAATAGGATGCTGCCAGCATCACCTGCAAAAAAAATAAAAGACAGATGCATGTACAAACTAGATTTCACAGAGGAACTGGGGGCTATGAATAAACAAGTCTCTGGTCTAGGGACAGCAAAAATAAATGGCAAAAGTTTAAATACTGGAAAAGTGTCTGTTAGAATAATAACAATAAGAGTCAGAGGGATCATTAGTGACTTTACAAAAAGCCCCAGAGCCGGATCTTTTACAAATGTAAATATGAACTCAAACGAAATGTCTGTTCAAGGTTTGTTATATCTTACAAATTAATGGCTTTCTGCATTGATATACGGACTCCGCAGAACTAGTGAAAGGATGGATAGTTTATTTAAACAAATCAGAATCCTTTACAAGAAATGAGCTGTATATCATAACTTAAGAAAAACATCCAGTTACCTAAACTGCAGAAGAGGCCTCAATTATCAATGACATTTTAATGTAGCTTACCAGAAACTGACCATTTTTAAATTAACCAACAGCTAAAAAGTAGTTATAAATGTCTGTATATAATGAACAGAGTTTTCTACAGTTCACATACCAGAAACAAGTGCAATAGACTTTGTGATATTTCCCACCAGAATTAGATCTTCAGTGTCTATGCTGACAGCTAAGGAATTAAACATCCTCTGCTTCAATAAAATTAGCCCTTTCGCTCACCGAGACGGCAGTAAATGAAAGCACTTAGGATGACATGCGTTAGGGCTCCGACAGCTCACTGAGGCATAACACATCGAGGAATTAAGTGTCTATTTCTCTAGAAACCATCAGGATTTCAATTCCAAGAGGAATGAAGCAGAAATGACAACTATTGCTTTCATTCTCCCAATGATACTGCTCATAAGGTTTCGTGTATATTACAGGAAATTAACACATGAGTACAAGTGCTGCTAACTGCAGGTGTGATAAGTCAACTCAAGGTATACCTCTTTGGGTAACCTTAATTTCTATCAGGTTATCAGGTTCAACAACAGTAAAGGGGAATTTACAAAATTATATTTGAATTTGAAGATCCTATCCTATCCACTTTTGTCTTTGACCATTGCATATTTCAATATTGACCATATTAAAATAACTCACTTCAGAAAACATTCAGGCACCAATCATTAACAAGATAACATTTTATCTATACTGTTCCATGACACACAATTACTTTCCCGTTTTCAGTTCTAGCCTACATAAGAAAGCAATAGGAAAGCACCCATAATTAGCTTCATTCCAGCATGTTTACCCAACTAAATTAGCACTGAAACATTACACAGAGTGGATAAGTTGAGGTGGGTACAGTTGCAAATGTTTCAACCAGTGTCTGGAAAGCACTGACAATGTTTAAATGTTTGCTTATCATAATGAGATCCTAGGCAATTATGCAGCTTTCAATACCTAGTCAGTCTTTAAATAGAACAACAAATGTTTTACAGAAGTGAAAAAAAGCACTGACAGTTCTGTTCCAAATGACAGAGCGCAAATAGTTCTAACATGCTTCACAAGAAAGTTAAGATCTGTGTCTTGAAAAGGAAGGCCATTATATTTACTTACACTCTTTATGATCTCATGTTCTGCCCCCTAATTGAGCAGGGTGTCTTTATTTGCTCTTCGGAGACAGAGTTCAACCAGCTTTCTTTACAAGCCCACAAGGAGCTCTGTGGGGCACTAACAGCTACAATCCGACAGTTTAGCACCTTCAGAAATGAGCCACACATTTGTGGTTGACATATTAGCTAAGAGTCATACCTCTGCGTAATCCTCAATCGCCTTCTAGTCTCTCAATAAGAATAAAAAGCATATTAGTGTCCGAAGTCTTGTACTAATCAGCAATTCAATGCTTACAAATATCCGGAGTCACGCTCACCTCTGCACTGGGTTTACAAAACAACTTCAGATCAAATGAAAGATAATCCAATCTTTGATGGAAAACACAGCCTGGATATCTAACACTTTAATTAAAAACAAAGGCAAACAGAGTCTCCGGAGTTTCAATGCAGTGTTTAAATGCTATAAACAAAAAAAAACTGCAAGGCAGTTGTTGGTTCTTCAAAAAATGATGAAATTCATGTCTATTTCAGTCTGTTATGAGGTAGTAAGTGATTGATGCAGCTCTGCATCTAAATTCGCTCATGCAGTTTAAATTGGATTGAGATACTGCTATTCAGGAGTATGAGAAATAGTCTTATAGTAAATTGAGCTATTGCTCACACTCAGAATAGGCTAAACGTCATTATTATCTCCACAGGTTTGGTATGTCTTTGACGCGGGTTTCTTGTCTGCAAGTCACAAGATGTCATTGGATAGCATTTCAGGGCATGCTTTTAATCTAGAATTGTAGACCAATTTCAGTCAGGAGAGAAGATACTTTTAAAGAATTGGAATTTCCCATGTTGTGTTATCATATAAAACTGCATGGTCTGTGGACTAGGTTTCTAAAAATGTCTAAAAGAAGAAAAAAGAAGTTCACAAAAAGGTAATGCAAATTAAAGGTCATCTTTCAAAATTACTTTGTATCACACAATTACTGGGAAGGAGGCACTACAATTTCTACTCTATGTTAATGGGATGATAAAGAGAATTCATCTTTAACAGAATGTGGTTCAAAGGCATTATATTAATCTGTGTTAACAGCAATTTAATATATGCTGTAATAAATGCCATTTACCACATGTATTTACATGAATACTGGACTCTTCGGTGCAAACATGCAGTATGTGTTCCCTAAAATAACATATAAATGCAAAAACTACAAAGGTTACATACAAAATGCTCATTGTGGCTTGCCATTTCTAAATGAAGAAACCAGAAATGCTTTAATTTTGGGGAAAGAATGAAATATGGCTTATAAACTGTCATCAGTTAGTGCCTTTAAAGGATCTTAACCATAAGCAAGTAATACCAAAGATGTGTAATATTAGATTCCAATAAAGAGCAGAAGTTCTGTAAACATGCAACACGAAACTGATGAAGAACCTATGCGAGTTGTATATAACTACAGATTATCTTGCTTTGCTTCTTATTAAAACAATTCTTTATATTGTTCTGAGCCTTTAGAGAGATTCATGTGTATGTGTAGGCTATAGTTTCATATTTTCTTACATGCATTTTCTGCCTTTCCTGTATAATTAAATGTACATGAATGATTCACAAGTATCATAAGAACCGATACAAATAAGAGGTAATTCACTCTTTCTATCCTGTTTAGTGGTTAGGAGTTAATTGTTCAGAGGATCTCATCTGTTTTTTGAAAGAGGCCAGGGTATCAGCATTAACAATATGGCTGGGTAGCTTAATCTCTACTCCAGCTACATTAAAACAACCCTATCATGCCCTATCTCTCAGTAACTAATGTTCATAGAATCATATACAAAAGAGGCAAACAAGAAACCAGGCAACTTACAACAGCTCACTCTTCAAATGAGGATCAAAGTCTAATTAATTCTAATTTATTTTCCATAACAATGTAGCATACTGGCCACAGGACGTGTATTTTTTTGCTTATCTTGAGATTATGGCACACATATTTATTTAGGCAATTCTGTTTAATATATGGCATGGCTACGTTTTCATAGTGGTTTAAGATATTTTTCCTTTAAAAAGTTTAAAAACAACAGCTTTCAAAATTAAAAAAAACATCCTGCATAAATGATGTGAATCATCTAAAAACATTCTAACATGCAAGCTTTCCAAGTTGTGTTCAAAGATGTCAAATATATTAAGCAATAATTTTTAGCCGTTTCATTGAGTTACATCCCAACACACCTTACAACACTGCTTTTGTTTTAAAGGATGAGATTGATTTGCTTACTAGTGTTTTTCCCCAACAGCGAGTAGATGGAGTTGACAGACTTGACATCTGCGATGCAAAACTCTAAATATTGCTCTGATTCAGATCAGGACATGTTTTTAAAATCATGAACAGTACTGTGACTGGAACAAAACTGGTTTACACTACAGATATCTAATCGCTTTACACTGCTAATAATAGCACCCATGTTTTTTCCATCTCATGAAATGCTCGTACCGGGTCACAAACAAGTGCTAGTAACTGGCATTTCTTCATTAAACCAAGACCTTCACATTCCTAAACTATTCTGTTAAAAACAGAACAATACAGTAAAAGGGACCTTATTCAGGGAAAGCATATAAATACACCTCCAGCATTCTTATTCGGAATCACTGCCATACATAATTCAAGATATAAAGAATTATCGTGGTTTTCCACAGTATCAGTTTGAGCAAAATCAACAACATAAAAATAAATGTTAGTGGCATTTAGGATATTTAACAATCAGTATATCTTTACAACTCCTATGAAAACTATTTTTTTTGCCAGATCATTTTGAACTATCATGTTTTAATGGTTAAAACATGGTTAATAAATGTTAGGACAAAATAATTCCTTTTGCTGGACATGTTAACTTAACTACTATGGTACATTACATGTAAATGCATCTGTGTGTCCTATCAATTAAGACCATATAAAGGCAGTTTATAGACTAGAAAACTTGTTCATAGTTTGAATTTCACCTTGTTTTTAAGATTGAAAGTCTTACATATTTCATTCAGTTTAATTAAATCAACTCATTTCTTTACTTAAATGAAGACTAATAATGTTTCGCATAAAACTCAACTGTGTTTCTTTTCACATTTTTAGCCTGAACTGACATCAGTTAATAATAATAATAATAATAATAATAATAATAATTGCTTACACTTATATAGCGCTATTCTGGACACTCCACTCAAAGCGCTTTGCAGGTAATGGGGACTCCCCCCCACCACCACCAATGTGCAACATCCACTTGGCTGGATGCTGCACATTGGTGGTGGATCTCTAATCCACCAGTTAGAGATGCTGGATCTCTAATCCACCAGTTAGAGATGCTGGATCTCTAATCCACCAGTTAGAGATGCTCCACTCCTCCTATCCTCCTGTCAATCACTGTGGGGTTTGCCAAGTGTCCAAAGGTGACTGGCTCTGACAGGTCTGCAGGTTGTAGGAATACAGTATGT